TGAAATAAAATCTAAAACCTTTATTTCCAGTGCTTAGAATGTCTGAGGGATTTCAAGCACCATCACTTTTTTAGATGATAGACTAGCAATTTTTAACCTTAAAAAAGTAATCTTGAGGCATAAATTTAGCTCCCTCCGGTCGCCCAGTTTGTGCTTGCAAAGAAAGCTTTCTGGATGAGGCATAAATGGGATTTTTACATCATTGAGGGTTCAGCTTCATAGCTTTCTCCCAACTGTTTTGAAATACAGTCTGTTCTCCCTATTAATGGGTTCTACATCCACAGATTTAACCAACCTCTGATCAAAAATATTAAAAGAAAAAGTTACACTGATGTTATGTAGGTAGGCCTACAACGGTTGTGTCTATCCTAAATAGACATTTTTTCCCTTGACATTTTCCCCTAAAATATAATGTCTGACAATTGTTTATATAACCTTTGCATTATATTGGGCACTATAAGTAATGTAGAGATGATTTAAAGTAGACGGGAGGATGTGTGTAGGTTACATGCAACTATGATGCTATTTTATATAAGAGATATAGGCATCCTCAGATTTGGGGATCGTCTCGGGCACCCAGGAACCAATCACTTCTCTGTAAGGAGCACAGACTGTATTCAGTCTAATAATGAAACAGAGAGAGAGAGAGAAGAGACATTTTTGTTATGTAAATCATGAACACAAAAAGGAAGACTTTTCGGTATTCCACTTCCTTCCAGAATGTGCTGGGGGAAGTAGGTGTGCACCTGGGCCCCTGCTTGCATTTCTTTGCCTCATAGTGACCAGGGAGGGAGAAGAGGAGAGAGGAAGGGCTGAGGGTCCCCGCTGCCACCTAGCAGACCACCACACACTCCGTGGCGTCTCTCACTCAAGTGTCCCCCAGCTCTGGACCTGTTAAATGGCAAGTGTCACATGCAAAACTTACTTCTGCAAAAAGTTTTATGCAAACTTAAAGCAGGGAGTCAACAAGAAAGGGAGAGAGGCAGAGGGCAAGCAGGGAACTCTGAAAAAAGGCCTCCTGCTGAAAAAAAAAATCCCATTTTAAGAACAAATTAGTTTGATGGCAAATTGGCGGTTCTGTCGTATGGAGTTGAGTTTTAGCCTGGCCACCTTGAGGAGCAGCTTGACAGACTTCAGGCTGCCTGCTCACAGCCCAAAGCCTCGCCGACAGAAGACACGGCTGGGCTGGATGCAGATGTGGCCCCCTGCACCCTGACACACTCAATCTCCACCCTACCCCCCTGTCACACCATGTACCGGCAGGTGACAGGGACTTGGCAGGCCCCACTCTGGCTCTGGCTTGAATTCCTTCCTCATGGACCTGCTCCCCACACTTCATTCTGGCCCATGAAACTGTACGTGTCAGCCTGCCATCGGCTGTCTCTCCACACTCACCATCCGGAGGGGCAGGGCTGGCCTGAAGCAGACAGCAAGCAGCATCTCAGCAGGTGAAATGGGTACTTGGAGTCAATAGGTGTGATTAAAAGGCCCAACTCTCTTCTCTCCCCATTTCTGGCACTGGTCTGCCAAGCCCATCTCGTGGGGAAATTGCCTGGTGTTTGTGTGACATCTAGGAAAGGATAAAAGCACGCTTCCCCTTCTCTTGTGAAAAGATAGTGTCAGGAAGGAGGGAGAGCTGGAGGGCAGGAGGGAAGTGCAGCTGACACCGCAGTCGCCGTCTTGCTATCTTTGGATGCTGCCAGGCGCATGAAGCCTTGTGCGCTTCTGCTAAACGGGGGTGAGCAGCTGGGCAGACCGTCAGGGAGCTGGGAGCTGGCAGCTGGCGGTGATTCAGACGCACAGAGCTTGCTCAACCAGCGGCTTTATAAGACGGGCGCAGCACAGGAAGTGGGCAAGGAATGGCTCATCAGGAAGCAATTGTGAAATAGGACCCGTTTAGGTTGGTGACAGCTCCTGGTGGGAGAGGGAGCGTGCCTGTTATTAGGACTGAAGAGGACAGAGTGTGCGGCGCTCCATGGCGGCATTGCCGGCCCCATCTAAGGCCCAGAGCAGGCGGCCCTGTGTCAGGAACAAAGTGCTTTAGACAGACAGACAGACGCAGGATCTGCACGGACAGAGCCTGAGCTGCAGAGGCCCGACATGTTGATAATTGAGTGAGTGCCCAATGCAAGGATCGGGAGATGAATTACACAGCAACATGGCAGAAAATGTAGAGAATGAAAGGAGGAAATGCATGGTATTCTACCTCCCTAATGAAGGTATTTTCATCTGGCAGATGCCTGGCTAGCCTTGCGCACACACACGTTTATAACATGTTCAGTGCACCCAGAATTTCACACTGCTTTTTTCACTTGGCCTATGTACCAGCATTTCCCAGCGTTACTTCATGCTCTCATCACTGATGATAGCTATAAAAGATTCCACCTAATGGGTCTACCATAATTTACTAAACGATTTCTCTATTCTGTAAGTAGATGGCTTTCTTTTAAAAAATGGCGTTACTGAGGTGTGATTGGTATCGAATAAGTTGCACAAATTGAAAGTGTGCCGTTTGATAAGTTTGGTATATGTAGCACCTGTGAAACCATCCCCACAGTCAAGGTAAAAGCATACCCATCACCCCACCCCCACCCCCCCGCCAAAAAAAAAGTTTCTTCTTCCTCCCTCTGGGTCATTTCCATGAGGTAGACTGTAATGCCTCCTTATGTTCACGGGCTTTTATATCGCCCCTTTCCTTTGAATTTGGGCTGCCCTGGGATCTGTTTTAAGCCATAGAATGTGGTAAAAGTGACACCATTCTAGTCTCAGGCCTGAGCCTTAGAAAGTCCTAGCAATTTATGATTTTTGCGCTCTTGAAGTGTTTCTTCTTGGAAACTAGCTGCCATGCCATGAGGAAGCTCAAGCAACCACATAGAGAGGACCCTTTGTCCACGAATAATGAGCCACTCCAGGCCTCCCAGTGCTTGATCCCACACCACATGAATCACGCTAGCCGGTTCCTCCCACAGAATCCTAAGAAGCAGGAAGTCATTTTTGTTCCAGCCACTACATTTTGGATCGATTTGTTACACAATCATCAGTAAGTAAAATAGGCTGATAATGTAGCAGTTATTGCTAAAATAGGTTCCCATTCTTTGAGAATCCCATGAAAGGGTATGAGAGAGGTGAGGCAGGAGTTTTTTCCAATCCCATGTTCCTCTCCAGTTATGACCTCGCTGTTGACTCCTTGAGACTATCAGTAGGCCCTCCTTCCACCTGCCTCTTAGGTGGGGGACACAAGAGCAAGCTGAAGGGAGGATCTGGGCGTGTTTGGGGGCCCAGAAAAGAAACAAGTGACTTCCTGTGGGTCTGTCCCAATGTTGCACTTTGGGACACTCCCTGGGGGTGGGGACACACAGCCCAAAGCAGCCCAGGGCACCCCTATTCACCCTCGCCGGGCAGCAGCACTCACAGAATGAGCGTGCCAAGGTTCCTTTCCTCTTGGAGTGCGAGAGGCTTTGGGAGATCATTCTCCCCTTCATACCATCGTGCGTGCTTATCCTGGAGAAGTGCCCCGGCGTGTTTACCCACCTGCCCACGGATGGACACCTGAGCTGTTTCCAGTTACCAGTTCCCCTGGATAAAGCTGTGAACATTTGTGTCCCAGTCTTAGGGTGGGCACACATTTTCATTGTTCTGTGTATATACCTAGGAACGGAATGACAAGATCATAGAGTAGGTGAATATTGAATTATTTAAAATATTTATCTACTAGATGAACTGTTGTTTTTATTTTTTAAAAATATAGATTTTTATTGATTTCAGAGAGGAAGGGAAAGGGAGAGAGAGATAGAAACATCAATGATGAGAGAGACTCATTGATTGGCTGTCTTCTGCAAGCCTCCCACTTGGGATCGAGCCCACACTCGGGGCATGTGCCCTTGACCAGATCAAACCCGGGACCCTTCAGTCCGCAGGCTGACACTCTATCCACTGAGCCAAACCAGCTAGGGAAGACTGCTGTTTTTAAAGAGCAGTTTTAGGTTCACAGCAAAGTTGTGCAGAAAATACAGAGAGTTCCCATATACCCCTAAAGAAACACACCCACAGCCTCCCCCGCTGCTAACCTCCTGCACCAGAGGGGGGATTTGTAACAACGGATGAGTTGTTACAACCACAGATCCCAGGGCAGCCCAAATTCAAAATGGATAACATTGATGCATTATTATCCAGCAAAGTCCACAGTAGAGAGGGTGCAGGGCAGGAAAAAGTTTTCCTTGACCTTCTTGGAGTCCCTGGCTGGGCCTGGAAATTAAACTGACAAAGACAGATGAGTAGGAGAGAAGCACGCACACTTACTTAATGTGTTTTACGTGACCTGGGAGCCTTCATAAGGAAATGAAGATCCAAAGGACCAGTCAGACGTGAGTGTTCTTATGCTGGCTGATGACAGAGGAGGAATGTGGTAGGTCCCTCCGATGAGGTCAGTGTAGTCAACTGGGGGAAACTGAGCCAGGCCTGTTCATTAGGGCTGTTCTAAAACCACGCTCTTTTCCTCTAGGAATAGAGGCCCCGCGCACATGAGGGTTTTATGACCTGTTTCAGGGGTGAAGGAGGAGTCAGAGTGACCTTCCTGATTAAGTTGTTTTCAGATTAAAAGAAATATGCCAAGATGCCATATTTTGGGTTTAGTAGGTCCGGATTCCCATCAAGGGCAAGAGAGAGAAAGAGGAAGGAAACGGAAGGAAGAAAAATAGAACAAAGGCAGGCAAACATCTGGGAATGTTCTTGCTTTCGAACCCAGGAGCAAAACTCGGTGTCATAAAAATCTATTAAAAATACACCAGCCCATCTCCAGCGCTAGAACTGTGAATTCTCAACTGAATAAGGAAGTGTTTCATTTCATCTCCTTTGCATATTAATGTCATGCAAATACCAGCACGCTGGGAAGTGCAAGGGGCCTGGGGAGTGCCACCAGCCATAAACACTTAACTAAAAAGTTGAACACAGCCTATCAAAATGTGAAAGGGCACAAAGATAACGGGTGAGGAGACTTAAGGTCCGATGAAACACAGAGTCAGTTTATTCCAAAGACGTAAGGACAGACAGAAATGTTGCAAGAGACAGACAGCAGCAGGCTAAGTGGGCGGTAAAGACAAGACACGTCTTTGTTTAAAGTTTGCTTGAGATCTATGTCAGTGGACGTAGTGATCTGCGAGGCGGGAAAACATTGGCAGGAAAAGTGCTGACAGGGTTGTCTGCATGCTGCACAGAGAGGAGCTGGAGGAAACACACGTTTTCACACCGGGAGCCCGCTGAAAAGCGAAAGCCAGCCTTAAAACTCACACTGCATGAATGGTTTCTTTCTGCAGCTTTGCTGAAGACTGGAGTGTTATTTAAGTGCTTTGTGTTCATAAAAGAAAAAAACCAGTTTTGTTTTGAATTGACTTCACTATTAGATACTCGGGGCATTGTCCATCACGTCCGCCGAGCTCAGCTTTTGGACGGAATGTCTGTTGAATGCTATAGGTTTCCTGGCCATGTTGGCTTGCCTTTCTCCTAGCAGCTGTCTCCCACTCCTGGCTGGCCTCTGCTTCTCGTCTGTCTCTGCCAGCCATGCAATTGTTCTGATGGTTCAGTCTACCCGGTGTTCACTAAAATTTAGAGAAAGAGTAGGCAGTGGATTAAGGAGGCACCACCAGGGCTGGTGGCTTACACGACTGAGTACAGCAAGGGACGTGAGGCTGGGGAAAAACTAGAAGCCAGGGCTCAGGCTGGAGGGGGCCGCCACTCAACTGCAAGAGAAGCTGAAAAGGCAGACTTCCTGTGAAATTCCTTGATTCTTTTCTACCAGCAAGTAATTGAAAAAGAATGAATACTGTGAGGGGCAAATGGGATGTGTCAGGGGCGACATCCAGTCTCCAGTTCTCCCCTCTACAATGTCTAGACTAGGGAAAGCTGGTAGGCAAGTGGAATCACGGCATATGGTGGGCTCAGGGTGCCAAGAAGCACATCTTGGCGCTCACTGACATGTCAAGAAGCTGCATTAATTTTTATAAAATAACATCATCCATCCCATTAGTCAATTTTAATTTTGTTGGCTTGTTGTTTGGTTTCTACTTACCTGTAAGCCCACCTTTGGTTTTATAGTAGTATGAGTATTTGTTGATATTTAAGAAATATCCTAATTCAAATAATTTAAGTCAACAGTGGGAATCTGTAAGATAGTCTCTTTCTCAAGTCTGAGAAATGATGTCCTATCTCATTTCATCTTTACACAAATCCCTAGGGATGTGAATAATTATTCACATTTTTAACCATAAGAAAATTGGAAACGCAAAGAGGTTCAGCAATCTGCTCAAACTCACCCAGCTAGTAAGAGGCAGAACTGGGATTTGAACCTGTTCAGCACTGACTCCAAAGCCCATGATTTCCACCCTGACTCCCAAACTAGCAGCACAGGACTTGTGAATGATGCTATCTATGCCTCTCCCACCCGAGTCCTCTCACTGTGCTTTTGACCACTGCCATCTGCCCAGCTGAAGCTACACACCCTCAGCATTTAGAGCAGCGGTTCTCAACCTGTGGGTCGCGACCCCTTTGGCGGTCGAACGACCCTTTCACAGGGGTCGCCTAAGACCATCCTGCATATCAGATATTTACATTACAATTCATAACAGTAGCAACATTACAGTTATGAAGTAGCAACGAAAATAATTTTATGGTTGGGTCACAACATGAGGAACTGTATTTAAAGGGCCAGAAGGTTGAGAACCACTGATTTAGAGAGATCCAAGGTCTCAGAGGGACCTGGAATTCAGGAGGGTTTAGGAGGAATCTGCGATTAGAATTACTATCAATGATCTCTCAGTTACATTTCTCATCACTATGCTTTTTGGGGTCTGGGCCATTTAACCACCATTTACAATCTTTTTTTTTTATAGGTAAATATCGCCTATGTTCCAATAAACATCTGGAACTAGCTGAATGTCACCTAAACTGCCTGTGTCAAGATCAGGTCTGGTTGGTGAGGAACCTTCTGGGTTTGTGTCTCTTATGGGCGGAATAGCTCTTTTCTTTGTCGTGCACCCCACTTGTGGCTTGGTCTGCTGCTGTAGGAATGAATGCCTGGGAGATGTGAAAGTTTTAGCACAGGCTCATCAGTGTACTTGGGCAGTGGGACCGCTGGATTAAGCCACACAAAGGAAAACATGGGGAGGAAATACCGTAAAACGTTAACAGTGGCCGTCTCAGTATGTAGCATTAGGGGAGGTTTACATTTTCTCCTTTATACTTTTCTACAATATCAAAACAATACATTGCTTTTGATATAGTGAAAAATTATTTTTGGATGAAATAAAAAGGAATTTATGGGGGGGGGGGGGGAATCCACTCCTCACAGTGGGAAAAGAGCACTGTTGCCACACACAGCCATCTGCTACATCTTCATAAGTGTCCCACAGTGTGAGGAGGCGACAGGAGCCACAGATTGCATGTGGAGTGAAATGGGGACACTTGCGACAGCTGGGAGTGCTGCAGGGCGCTTGTTAAAGGTGTCAGCAGTGACACACTTCTTTGTTTCTCCTGGTTGACTCAGATCTAGCCCTGAGCACTTGAACAAGAAGTTATCCACATCAGCTTATCCACAAGCAAGTAAAGAGGGAGGGGACTCAGGTGCCTTCTCCCAGATCTAAGGTAATCTTGATAGATTCCTGTTTGAAGCTGAAGTGTTGACTAGGAGACTCTCCAGGGCCCAGGCTACAATTCTCACTGGGCAGTGTGACCTCGGTCGGAGCAGGAGGAAAACTCACCGAGGTGTGTAAAAAGACATGAGCTATCTCCATGCCTTGGCGGCCCACCCCAAGGAGGGACTTGGCTTCAATAAATATCTTTAGATTTTAAAATATATGTCTATGTTCTGCCCTGGCCAGGTGGCTCAGTTTGTTGGGGTGTCATTCCATTCACCAAAAGGTTGCAGGTTAGATCCCCAGTTCAGGTGCATATGTGAGGCAACCAATGGATGGTTCTCTCACATCAATGTTTCTCTCTCTCTCTCTTAAAATCAATAAAAACATATCCTTGGGTGAGCTGTGTCTATAGACAGAACACATGGATAATGGTGGTCACCAGGAGTCTCTGTCTTGAACTCCTAACTGGCTCGTTCTTGTTCTTTTTGTTTTAGTTTATTCTCCCTGGATAGAGCATATAATGGCCTGCTTATAAGCCCACACCAGGTTCCCGATCAGCCTATGGTTGTTCATCACAGGCTCCTGTCCTTAAAGCTGCCAAGCTGAATTTTTGGCAGAAGAAGGGAAAGTGACCCCCCCTTCCCCCTCAGTTCTATGACATACTGTCACCTGGTGGGGTGGGGAGAGGACTGAGCAGCATTGTTTGGGCATCTCCCCTTCATCCTCCTCCCTACTGTCGTACTCCGGTATCCCAGGTCACTTTATAAAAACAACTTCTCCAGCTTTAGTTGTTAAGTCTTCTTTCCCAGAAGGCTCCAAAACTGTCCACGAACCAGAGAAAGGCACCGGCACCTACAGTCTCCTGGCTTAGAACCCTGCAGCTTACCACCTCTCCTTCTCAGTCAAATGCAAAGATTCCAGGCCACTTAAAGAAACCAAATTTGGGGGCCTATCTGCCTCAGCAGGCCACCGACTAAACCAGGACACACCTCTGGTCTGAAGTGCCTTCATCAGGCTCAGCAAGGGTCATCTAACTAATTCTATGGACTTTCCTCAATTACAGACGAAGAAAAACATGAATGAGCGCATGAATGTGGCAAAATCAAATAAGGTGGATTGAAGAGCAGAGACACATAAGGCAGCCTGACTGAGCTTTGTAGCCACACAATCATGGCGACAACATTCAGAGTTGAGAACAAGACAGGCTTTGGGACCAAGGACCAAGGGGAAAGGGCTGATTCAGGAGATATTCCTTAGGAAACAGCAGCCAGCCTGCTGACAGATGGGTCAGGAATGGGTCTGAGTCCTTGGCAAAGCGATTTCAATTGAATCTGAAGTTGTTTGGGATCCTTTGAAAACCCTGGTATTAATCCAAGTCTATTATTACCACTGCCTTTTCATTTCCTCTCCTCTCTTGTGTTTGTATTTCTTGTCGCCCACACACACTAGCCCTGAATGGTTTACTTACAATTTTACACACAAACAACACAAATATTTTCAACCACCATCTAACATGATTAATAGCCTTTTGTTTGTTTTGAGTGAGAGGAAAAGTCTCCAGTTTCTCCCGTAGACCTTAATTGGGCTTGAATAGAAATTAATTTCATTTTCTCCTTTACTATTTATGAAGCATCAGACCATGCTAACATTTCTCTGGAGGCTCAAATGATATTGCTGGAACAGTGGATGGAGGGAACATCCACCCCCAATTTCCCCTCTTTTCCTCCTTTGCCTCTTACTGCCCTCCTTCCATACCATCCCCCCCCCCCCCCCCCGCAAAAATATTTGCCTCATGGGTCAGTCAAAATTCACAACAGAACCTTTCTGAAAGCCACATGGAGTCTACCCTCTTCCTCCAAGGCCAATCTGTCATCTAGGAGTCAGTCCTTTTTCCTCACCTAGCTAATGAAGCTCATGATTTATTACAATTTTGGTCCAAGGCCTGATTTCTGTTCATAAGACCCTGTCATCTTTGGATGAACCGTGCTGATGAAGGGCCAAGACTATAATGAAACACTGGCCTGACAGTTCACAACAGTGGGAGTTAGGAAATAACAGCAGAAGTTGTCTCCAACAGTGAACAAAGACATTCAGAACACCCAGCATCACGCATCTGAGCTGTGGGAGCAGGCTGCCTCCATTCATTCATGGTGCTAGCATTTTCAAGCCTGGATCTTTATACGCTTATTGAACAACTCACCTTGGGAGCCATACAGTATCCTTGTTTCAGATCTTTCGAAATATCACCTCTTCCAAGAAGTTCACCGAAATGAAGTGGAAGTGAAGCCATGCTCTCCCTTCCTTATTCTACTACCTTGGAACCGTGTCTCACCTCAGGGCACCCAAACTGGAACCAGCTGTGTATTTCATTCATCTCTAGATGGGTTGTTTTTATCTATAAATGTGTTGCTGTAATGATTTCTAGAACATAAATGGCTGAAGACATCAGAGCTGGCACAGAAGCTATTAAAAAAAAAAAATAAAGACTTTGCCTTTTCAGCTTTGTATTTTCTGTAGGGCCCAGTACATAGGAGGTGCTACACATTTAGTGTGTGAATTTATTTAATAATGAATCAGCTACTGATTTAGCACCTGCAATGACTCGGAGATACCCCCTGTGACCCCCACCATCTTTTAGGGCTATTGAAGACTATACTTGTGCTTCAGTAAAGAAAGTATAAATAAAAGAAACAGCCTGGACCCTGGAGGAGCAGTAACAAAGCCGGAGGAGTCCAGTCTGCAATGAGCAATGGCCACCATCCAGTCATTGATTTTTATTTTTATTTTTTTTTAGTATCTGGACATTTACTGGAAGGATGAGGTTGGCCTGGATAGTGATTCCAAATTGCTGCTTCTTAGTCTCTTAGCTTCTACAAGATAATATTTTCTCTAACCACAAACCACAGCGGTCAGAACCACAGAGCAATATACTGTAACAAGAGCAGTGTGCACAGTCCCAGTATTCT